CTGAGGTGGTTCGGGCATCTAATTAGGATGCCTCCTGGACGCCTCCCACTGGAGGTTTTCCAGGCACGTCCAACTGGGAAGAGACCCCGGGGAAAACCCAGAACACGCTGGAGGGATTACATCTCCCAGCTGGCCTGGGAACGCCTCGGGATCCCCCAGAATGAGCTGGAACATGTTGCCGGTGAGAGGGAAGTCTGGGTCAGCCTGCTGGGAAAATGGATGGATGGATGGACTTTGGAGTGGCCTAGTCAAAGTCCCGACCTGAATCCGATTCAGATGCTGTGGCATGACCTTAAAAAGGCGGTTCATGCTCGAAAACCCTCCAATGTGGCTGAATTACAACAATTCTGCAAAGATGAGTGGGCCAAAATTCCTCTACAGCGCTGTAAAATACTCATTGCCAGTTATCGCAAACGCTTGATTGCAGTTGTTGCTGCTAAGGGTGGCCCAACCAGTTATTAGGTTTAGGGGGCAAACACTTTTTCACACAGGACCATGTAGGTTTGGATTTTTTTTTCCCCTTAATAATAAAAACCTTCATTTAAAAACTGCATTTTGTGTTCACTTGTGTCATCTTTGTCTGATATTTAAATTTGTTTGATGATCTGAAACATTTAAGTTACATATATATATATATATACATACATACATATACACATACACATACATATATATATATATATACACATACACAAATATATATACATATACATATATACATATATACATATACATACACATATACATACATACATATATACATACATACATACAAGTACTAACTGTAGTTCTAAAGTACTAACTGTAGTTCTAAAGTACTAACTGTAGTACTTCCTGGCCTCCATTGACGTCACCTCAGAGACACCTTTAACATTACAGCTGCTAGTTAGCATGCTAGCGTAGATGCTAACCTTCTTGTTATCCGATAATATAAAGTGTTCTGGTGTATTCTGACTCCACGCTAAACCCTCCAGGTCTTTGGTTCACTTCTCTTCCGGTAACGTTAGAAGGGAGTCAGGCTGATGTCACCACCCAGTCAAGTTAGGAGCTAGAATAACGTTATTCATCAAACATTTAAATAACTGCGGTTTGAACGCGCCGAACTGAAGAGTGATCTCTATTGATTTATATCAGATCAACACGACCTACACACACCGGCTGGTATCACTCCGCGTTTCGTCTTCAAAAAGAAGGATTTACAATGAAGAGACAGAGACAGAGACAAGCAGGCAGACAGACAGAGAGAGAGAGACACACACAGACCGACAGACAGACAGATGTGTTACCGGTCCTCCGTGTTCTTGCCTCACAGAGAACCTCTCGGTTCACTCCATCCGCCCGTTTGACCGTGAAACTGTCCGGTCTTCTCCGGTTCAGAGCCAAGATGGCGCCGGATGGAGCCAAACTGTCAGCTGACGGGAGCTCGGCCGCGTCCCATTCAGAACAACTCGTCTCCTTGACATTGAGGCCACCCACTAATCTCTCTGACTCGTACCTCTGACAGCACAATAAAACTTGGTCCACAGTTTCTTCTTCTTCACAACATTCACACTTTCCATTATTATGCTTTCAAATAACATAGAGGAAACTGTTAAGATCATTCCTTAGTCTTGTCAGAATCATCTCCTCTTTCCTATTTCGTCCACTAGATCCTGCATTCCTAACCAATGGTTTATTTTAATTTTATTTTTAAATCTTCCTTTACTTCCTTTATTCCATATCTTCGGAGTCCTCCTGAAACACACATCTCACCTGTGTTATAAACGAACAGATCTTTATTCTAACTTCTAGAACTCTGACATGTCGGTTTGATTCACACACCGAGGCCGCGGTGTTAGCAGATTGGGACGCGGACCTCCCTCCTCCTGTGTGAGGAGGGAGGAAGCTAGTCTGCATATGAATCCTGATCATCTTCAAACAGCAGGCCTCGTTCTCATCACACAAGCCTCTAATGGAGGAGAAGTGGATGTTCCCACTGGGACCTGTAGTCTAGGGGGAACCCCGTAGACCAGGGTCCTCAAATACTGGTCTCCAGACGGCCTGAGGCCTAAAGCCCAGAATCTATTCCTCCAGCAACACTAAGACACAAAGACCTCCAAGGACATGATGAAGGTCTTAAGAGTGGCTGTAAGACCTGATCCTCTTCCAAATATTTAAACATTAAAATCTGTTTTTATGACTTTTAATATATCAACATGAAACCACTTGATCACATCAGAAGTACTCAGGTCCTTTTCTGCAGTAGCGGATACCACACAATAAAAATACTGGGCTGGATCAGGTTTATAGTTAGGGCTGGCTCAGGTTTATAGTTAAGGCTGGTTCAGGTTTATAGTTAGGGCTGGCTCAGGTTTATAGTTAGAGCTGGCTCAGGTTTATAGTTAGGGCTGGTTCAGGTTTATAGTTAGGG